TAGTATCAAGAAGGGTAGTATCAAGAAGGGTAGTATCAAGAAGGAGTAGTATCAAGAAGGTAGTATCAAGAAGAGTGTATCAAGAAGGGTTATCAAGAGTATCAAGAAGGGTAGTATCAAAATAGATAGAGGTAGTATCAAGAAGGGTAGTATCAAGAAGGGTAGTATCAAGAAGGTAGTATCAAGAAGAGGTAGTATCAGAAGGGTAGTATCAAGAAGGTAGTATCAAGAAGAGGTAGTATCAAGAAGGGTAGTATCAAGAAGGTAGTATCAAGAAGGGTAGTATCAAGAAGAGTAGTATCAAGAAGGGTAGTATCAAGAAGGGTAGTATCAAGAAGGGTAGTATCAAGAAGGGTAGTATCAAGAAGAGTAGTATCAAGAAGGGTAGTGTCAAGAAGGGTAGTATCAAGAAGGGTAGTATCAAGAAGGGTAGTATCAAGAAGGGTAGTATCAAGAAGGGTAGTATCAAGAAGGGTAGTATCAAGAAGGAGATAGTATCAAGAAGGGTAGTGTCAAGAAGGGTAGTATCAAGAAGAGTAGTATCAAGAAGGGTAGTATCAAGAAGAGTAGTATCAAGAAGGGTAGTATCAAGAAGAGTAGTATCAAGAAGGGTAGTATCAAGAAGGGTAGTATCAAGAAGGGTAGTATCAAGAAGGGTAGTATCAAGAAGGGTAGTATCAAGAAGGGTATATCAGATAGTATCAAGAAGGGTAGTATCAAGAAGGGAGTAGTATCAAGAAGGTGTATCAGAGGTAGTATCAAGAAGGGTAGTATCAAGAAGGGTAGTATCAAGAAGGGTAGTATCAAGAAGGTAAGTATCAAGAAGGGTAGTATCAAGAAGGGTAGTATCAAGAAGGGTAGTATCAAGAAGGGTAGTATCAAGAAGGGTAGTATCAAGAAGGGTAGTATCAAGAAGGGTAGTATCAAGAAGGGTAGTATCAAGAAGGGTAGTATCAAGAAGGGTAGTATCAGAAGGGTAGTATCAAGAAGGGTAGTATCAAGAAGGGTAGTATCAAGAAGGGTAGTATCAAGAAGGGTAGTATCAAGAAGGGTAGTATCAAGAAGGGTAGTATCAAGAAGGGTATAGTATCAAGAAGAGGTGATCAAGAAGGTAGTATCAAGAAGGGTAGTATCAAGAAGGGTAGTATCAAGAAGGGTAGTATCAAGAAGGGTAGTATCAAGAAGGGTAGTATCAAGAAGGGTAGTATCAAGAAGGGAGATCAGAGTATTCAAGAAGGGTAGTATCAAGAAGGGTAGTTATTCAAGAAGGGTAGTATCAAGAAGGGTAGTTCAAGAGGGTATCAAGAAGGGTAGTATCAAGAAGGGTAGTATCAAGAAGGGTAGTATCAAGAAGGGTAGTATCAAGAAGGGTAGTATCAAGAAGGGTAGTATCAAGAAGGGTAGTATCAAGAAGGGTAGTATCAAGAAGGGTAGTATCAAGAAGGGTAGTATCAAGAAGGGTAGTATCAAGAAGGGAGTATCAAGAGGTAGTATCAAGAAGGGTAGTATCAAGAAGGGGTAGTATCAAGAAGGGTAGTATCAAGAAGGGTAGTATCAAGAAGGGTAGTATCAAGAAGGGTAGTATCAAGAAGGGTAGTATCAAGAAGGAGTATCAAGGAGGAGTATCAAGAAGGGTAGAAATCAAGAAGGGTAGTATCAAGAAGGGTAGTATCAAGAAGGGTAGTATCAAGAAGGGTAGTATCAAGAAGGGTAGTATCAAGAAGGGTAGTATCAAGAGGGTAGTATCAAGAAGGGTAGTATCAAGAAGGGTAGTATCAAGAAGGGTAGTATCAAGAAGGGTAGTATCAAGAAGGGTAGTATCAAGAAGGGAGTATCAAGAAGGGTAGTATCAAGAAGGGTAGTATCAAGAAGGGTAGTATCAAGAAGGGTAGTATCAAGAAGGGAGTAAGGTATCAAAGAAGGGTAGTTCAGAAGGGTAGTTCAGAAGGGTAGTATCAAGAAGGGTAGTATCAAGAAGGTAGTATCAAGAAGGGTAGTATCAAGAAGGGTAGTATCAAGAAGGGTAGTATCAAGAAGGGTAGTATCAAGAAGGGTAGTATCAAGAAGGGTAGTATCAAGAAGGGTAGTATCAAGAAGGGTAGTATCAAGAAGGGTAGTATCAAGAAGGGTAGTATCAAGAAGGGTAGTATACAAGGGGACAAGAAGGGTAGTATCAAGAAGGGTAGTATCAAGAAGGTGTATCGAGTATTCAAGAAGGGTAGTATCAAGAAGGGTAGTATCAAGAGGGTAGTATCAAGAAGGGTAGTATCAAGAAGGGTAGTATCAAGAAGGGTAGTATCAAGAAGGGTAGTATCAAGAAGGGTAGTATCAAGAAGGGTAGTATCAAGAAGGGTAAGTATCAAGAAGGGTAGATTCAAGAAGGGTAGTATCAAGAAGGGAGTATCAAGAAGGGTAGTATCAAGAAGGGTAGTATCAAGAAGGGTAGTATCAAGAAGGGTAGTATCAAGAAGGGTAGTATCAAGAAGGGTAGTATCAAGAAGGGTAGATCAAGAAGGGTAGTATCAAGAAGGGTAGTATCAAGAAGGGTAGTATCAGAAGGGTAGTATCAAGAAAGGGTAGTATCAAGAAGGGTAGCATCAAGAAGGGTAGTATCAAGAAGGGGAGTATCAAGAAGGGTAGTATCAAGAAGGGTAGTATCAAGAAGGGTAGTATCAAGAAGGGTAGTATCAAGAAGGTAGTATCAAGAAGGTATATCAAGAAGGGTAGTATCAAGAAGGGGAGTATCAAGAAGGGTAGTATCAAGAAGGGTAGTATCAAGAAGGGTAGTATCAAGAAGGGGAGTATCAAGAAGGGTAGTATCAAGAAGGGTAGTATCAAGAAGGGTAGTATCAAGAAGGGTAGTATCAAGAAGGGTAGTATCAAGAAGGGTAGTATCAAGAAGGGGAGTATCAAGAAGGGTAGTATCAAGAAGGGTAGATCAAGAAGGGTAGTATCAAGAAGGGGAGTATCAAGAAGGGTAGTATCAAAGGTATATCAAGAAGGGTAGTATCAAGAAGGGTAGTATCAAGAAGGGTAGTATCAAGAAGGGTAGTATCAAGAAGGGAGTATCAGAAGGGTAGTATCAAGAAGGGTAGTATCAAGAAGGGGTATGAGTATTCAAGAAGGGTAATCAAGAAGGTAGTATCAAGAAGGGTAGTATCAGAAGGAGTATCAAGAGGTAGTATCAAGAAGGGTAGTATCAAGAAGGGGTATAAAATAGAAGAGTATCAAGAAGGGATATCAGAAGGATATCAAGAAGGGTAGTATCAAGAAGGGTAGTATCAAGAAGGGTAGTATCAAGAAGGGTAGTATCAAGAAGGGTAGTATCAAGAAGGGAGTATCAAGAGGGTAGTATCAAGAAGGGTAGTATCAAGAAGGGTAGTATCAAGAAGGGGAGTATCAAGAAGGGAGTATCAAGAAGGGAGTATCAAGAAGGGAGTATCAAGAAGGGGAGTATCAAGAAGGGTAGTATCAAGAAGGGTAGTATCAAGAAGGGAGTACAAAGGGGAGTTCAAGAAGGGGAGTATCAAGGATAGAGGTAGTATCAAGAAGGGTGTATCAAGAAGGGAGTATCAAGAAGGGTGTATCAAGAAGGGTATCAAGAAGGGAGTATCAAGAAGGGAGTATCAAGAAGGGTAGTATCAAGAAGGGTAGTATCAAGAAGGGGAGTATCAAGAAGGGGAGTATCAAGAAGGGGAGTATCAAGAAGGGGAGTATCAAGAAGGGGAGTATCAAGAAGGGGAGTATCAAGAAGGGGAGTATCAAGAAGGGTATCAAGAAGGGGAGTATCAAGAAGAGTGATGTAATCAGAATTGCTAAGACAGTTCTGTTTGTCTTTTTCAGTTTTTATTTCACTAACTGACCCAAATTGTCGATAAAATAATCGTCTCCGAAAATCAGGCAGTGGGATAGCGTTTGTGGCTTTATCCTGGTGGCTTTATTGTGGCTTTATCCTGGTGGCTTTATTGTGGTGGTTTTATCCTGGTGGCTTTATTGTGGCTTTATCCTGGTGGCTTTGTTGTGGTTTATCCTGGTAGCTTTATTGTGGTGGCTTTGTTGTGGTGGTTTTATCCTGGTGGCTTTATTTTGGTGGCTTTATTGTGGTTTATCCTGGTGGCTTTGTGGTGGCTTTATCCTGGTGGCTTTATTGTGGTGATTTTATTGTGGTGGCTTTATCCTGGTGGCTTAATTGTGGAGTTTTATCGTGGTGTTCAGATGTACGTACGTCACGGGCTGCCCAGATGCTGACAGAATCTTTAATTGTACTGACGAAGACCAGGATCATGCAACTATGTATGATAACTTCGTAGATAATGGTCTTATGCACCTTCATGTTTATTAAATCTAGTGGCCCGTAATACATCCAGGATGTATACATTGAGGTATGTGTCTCTCGGAGTATATATACCTGGAGCATACATGGAGGGTGTTCCGGGTGTTCCAGGCTGTTATGGCTGGCCGCACGCAAACCGACGTATGAGCCACAGCCCGGCTGGTTAGGTACTGGCTTTAGATGCCTGTCCACCTTCCTCTTCTTGAAGACAGCCAGGGGCCTATTGGCAATCTCCCTCATAAGAACATAAGGATGGAGGAACACTGCAGAAGGCCTATTGGCCCATACAAAGCATGTCGTTATCAAAATCACCACTACCCAAGAAGTTACTCTCGTACCCACGACACCAGTCAAACCCAGTCCCTGCCCCTGGGAGGCAGTTGAACAGTCTTGGGCCACAGACACTTACTGTGTTGTCTCTTAAACCCGTAGGGATTATTCAGTGCCTTGGGGGGATGGAAGGAATTCAGGTTCAGTTCAGGGAATTGGAGCACAGATCCAATTCCCTAGATCAAGAGCCCCTCACCAGCTTCAAGGAACGTCCCTTGAGGGGTTTATTTATGCAGACGTGAATTAAGTCCCCCACACACAGAAAAAAAAAGTTTACGTGCTAATGTGTTATTTACAACAGTGATCACCACCAAGACAAAAGAGAATTATGGTAAACATGGCCAAGAATTTCAGTCACGAAGCTACAATGGTAAATTCTAAGTCGGTCTTAACCAGGTTTGTCTTGGTGTGCTGACGAGCAGATCCTGCCACCCAACAACCCAACACACGGTCTCTCTATTCAACAAGGTAAATTATACCCTGTGCGGGTTATTTGTGTATTGTTCCAGTCACGGTATTGTGCCTTTTTATTCTTTAAAGGCAAATTATTGTTGCAGGAAATGTCAGGCAACTTTTCGTTTGGGCAACAGGGTTTTAGTGCAAGTCAGTAGAGTTCACCTGGAGAGCATGACTTGCAGAAAGAAAAATGTTGTGAAGGCGGAACTTTCTCAAAAAAAAGTTTTCTCTAACTGCAGTTCGGCTTTTCATTACATACAAACTGTGGGTAATGTATTATTCTTCCTTATAGAAGACTATCTGGTAACATGGGTCAGGTTTTGAAGAATTTGTGCTTCCGAGAGAGAGAAAAAGCATATCACTGTTTTTTGAGGAGCTGACAACAAAAATGAGCCTAATAACAATCTTTTGCCTAACGAAAATTTTATGATTTGTTTTTGTAGATAAATGGTCCAGAAACTTAATAAATTAGATACTTGTGCAACACTTGCGTGTCTGTTCTTATCAAGCTAACATCGACTCCAGGCTGTGGGACTGATTACTCCAAACTCCTGAACTTCACCCATTCTTCTCTATATTGGACTGAGGAAGCCACTGGTTGGCGAAATGTCTCCAAAATATACTCCGGGGCTGCACATGTGTATAGTCTGTCATAATTTTTTTTTTAATTACGCATTGTGTGGATCAAGAGTCTTTCCCTTGTACAGTTTATCCTTATTCCTTCCCAGGTCCAAGATAACAACCGCCCTGGGTCCGTATTACAGACAGAGTCAATTTGCAATTTTATGCGTCATTTCCGTATTCAGTGACCCAAAATTAGTATAGATTGGTTGGTTTTGTTTTCGAAGTATTTTAGCTGTAGACTGAGTTCCAGTAAGTGTCCTTCAAGTGAGTTCCAGTAAGTGTCTTTCAAGTGAATTCCAGTAAGTGTCCTTCAAGTGAGTTCCAGTAAGTGTCCTTCAAGTGAGTTCCAGTAAGTGTCTTTCAAGTGAATTCCAGTAAGTGTCCTTCAAGTGAGTTCCAGTAAGTGTCCTTCAAGCGAATTCCAATAAGTGTCCTTCAAGTGAGTACCAATTAGTGTCCTTCAAGTGAGATCCTTCATAGAGAAGGACTCTTAGTAAAAGAAACCGGACCTTCCTTTCCTTTCCTCGGATCAAACCCGACCATCTCTCATTCTCCAGCTACTTACTCACCATGACAGGATTAGTGTTTCTTCCTGAATACAAGACCATGAGAACACAAGAACACAACACAACAGCAGAGGAACACAGCAACTAGCCTGCTGTCCCATGCAGCGGAACATCAAATTTTCTTCAGAGTGTTAGACTTGGAAAACTCTCGACTTGATTTCCAGGAAGGGGTTAATTAGGGGGTGAGTAAGGAAAGCTGTACCATAGCTACGTTAAAAAAAAAATAGACACAGTATCGTGTCCGGAGCTAAAAAACAAATAACTCGAACACTGGAAAGAGAAGCTCAAGACGGCGTTTCCGTCCGTCTTGGACCATTTACGTTCCTAGAACCAAGTTGTGATGGGGATTAGCGTCTGATTAATGTTAATCGCCAATAATCCCTTAAATAAAAACACATGTTAGGCAGGTCTAACTCGCACTCTTCAGTGACGCTACTGGGCAGTTTGTAAGCCTGAAGCCTTTCTTGAATATCAGAAAAATAAGCGGTGGTTTCAAGACATTCTAACTCTTCTTTCTCTGTATAGCCCTTGTGGCTTAGCGCTTCTTTTTGATTATAATAATAATATTCTAACTCTGCTTGCCTCATTGGTTAACCCAGTGGTTGGCCAGGAGTGCGGCGAGACACGATGACAAGTGTGGCGGCCACAAAGAAATGTTTTCATTCATGTACAGGAATCCGTAGAAGCTTCCAGATTTTATACCATCTGTGTGTGTGTTAAGTGCAGTGTTGAGGACGAGCCTCAAGCAAATAATAAAAATATAATATATCTTTATTTCTACATGTACAAGGTATACAGACCATAACTGATATCAATGATATACTACTATATAGAAAGCCGCTTGTTATGCTGAGCATTTCGGGCAAATTAGGTCAGTTTTGTCCCAGGATGCGACCCACACCAGTCAACTAACACCCAGGTACCCATTTTACTGATGGGTGAACATAGACAACCGGTATAGGAAACACGCCTAATGTTGTTACCTTCATTTCTGTTGCTGTTGTTGTTACATTCATTTCTGTTGCTGTTGTTGTTACATTCATTTCTGTTGCTGTTGTTGCCTTCATTTTTGTTGCTGCTGTTGTTGCCTTCATTTTGTTGCTGTTGTTTCCTTCATTTCTGTTGCTGTTGTTGCCTTCATTTCTGTTGCTGTTGTTGCCTTCATTTCTGCTCCTGTTGTTGCCTTCATTTCTGCTCCTGTTGTTGCCTTCATTTCTGCTCCTGTTGTTGTTGCCTTCATTTCTGTTGCTGCTGTTGTTGCCTTCATTTTGTTGCTGTTGTTTCCTTCATTTCTATTGCTGTTGTTTCCTTCATTTCTGTTGCTGTTGTTGTTGCCTTCATTTCTGTTGCTGTTGCCTTCATTTCTGTTGCTGTTGTTGCCTTCATTTCTGTTGCTGTTGTTGTTGCCTTCATTTCTGTTGCTGTTGCCTTCATTTCTGTTGCTGTTGTTGTTGCCTTCATTTCTGTTGCTGTTGCCTTCATTTCTGTTGCTGTTGTTGCCTTCATTTCTGTTGCTGTTGTTGTTGCCTTCATTTCTGTTGCTGTTGCCTTCATTTCTGTTGCTGTTGTTGCCTTCATTTCTGTTGCTGTTGTTGTTGCCTTCATTTCTGTTGCTGTTGCCTTCATTTCTGTTGCTGTTGTTGCCTTCATTTCTGTTGCTGTTGTTGTTGCCTTCATTTATGCTGCTGCTGTTGTTGCCTTCATTTCTGCTGTTGTTGTTGCCTTCATTTCTCCTGCTGTTGTTGCCTTCATTTCTGTTGCTGTTGCTGTTGCCTTCATTTCTGCTGCTGTTGTTGCCTTCATTTATGCTGCTGCTGTTGTTGCCTTCATTTCTGCTGTTGTTGTTGCCTTCATTTCTCCTGCTGTTGTTGCCTTCATTTCTCCTGCTGTTGTTGCCTTCATTTCTGCTGCTGTTGTTGCCTTCATTTCTGCTGCAATTGTCTTCATTTCTGCTGCTGTTGCCTTCATTTCTGCTGTTGTTGCCTTCATTTCTGTTGCTGTTGTTGCCTTCATTTCTGTTGCTGTTGTTGCCTTCATTTCTGTTGCTGTTGTTGCCTTCATTTCTGTTGCTGTTGTTGTTGCCTTCATTTCTGTTGCTGTTGTTTCCTTCATTTCTGTTGCTGCCTTCATTTCTGTTGCTGTTGTTGTTGCCTTCATTGCTGCTGTTGTTGTTGTTGCCTTCATTTCTGCTGCTGCTGTTGTTGCCTTCATTTCTGCTGCTGCTGTTGTTGCTTTCGTTTCTGCTCCTGTTGTTGCCTTCATTTCTGCTGCTGCTGTTGTTGCCTTCATTTATGCTGCTGTTGTTGTTGCCTTCATTTCTGCTGTTGTTGTTGCCTTCATTTCTCCTGCTGTTGTTGCCTTCATTTCTCCTGCTGTTGTTGCCTTCATTTCTGCTGCAATTGTCTTCATTTCTGCTGCTGTTGCCTTCATTTCTGCTGTTGTTGCCTTCATTTCTGTTGCTGTTGTTGCCTTCATTTCTCCTGCTGTTGTTGTCTTCATTTCTGCTGCTGTTGCCTTCATTTCCGTTACTTATTATTATTATATAAGCAAATCACCTACAGGAGGCTTACAGGGTCTTTCCTGAATTATTACGTGCAAGTAATTTGGGTGAGTTAAGTGGGACTTAAATCACAGCAGGTCGCCAAACTGTAACTCCCTCGATGCCCACTCCCTACCACTCTCACAAAAAGCTAGACCTGACATTAAATTAATATTTATAATATTAAAGGAGGGGTGTTAATGTTGCAGTTTAAAAACTGTAGTGTAAAGCACCCTTCTGGCAAGACAGTGATGGAGTGAATGATGGTGAAAGTTTTTCTTTTTCGGGTCACCCTGCCTTGGTGGGAATCGGCCAGTGTGATAAAAAAAAAAAATAATAAAACCAGCTACTCTGGTAAATTAAAGTTGTGTGGACTGTATATAATTAGGCTTGCTGGATATGCAAAATATAATTATTTTACATAAATGATTAGTTTTTTTTGTAAGGAAATTCGTATTACCACTTACCATTTATCACAGGAAGACAATGCTGATGGAACACACCCTAACCTTACCCTACCAGCTAGAATTTATGATGGCCAGGGCAAAAACTACTGTACATTATGGGTAAGCATCACTTAGCCGAGGTATGCTCCTGAGAAAATTGGTGTGCTCTATTTTTTCGTCCTTGTTGCCGAATTGTAATGGTTTTCCACACTATCCCAATTCTTCAGCAGGAACGTGTCAGCAATTTCTGAATTATGAATTGAGGCCGATATACACCAACTAACCTTCGAGAACGCCTGATTACACTGCACAATTCGCACAGTGTTCACACATACTCAACATGGCGTCTCCCCTGCTTCACTCCGCAGCTGTTCTACACACTCTTCACTCGAAATTTCTCGAAAGGGTCAAATCAGCATCATATTTTATTACATAGTTATTGTATTATTCATTTATATGCTCTGCATTTAGGAAATTATGTAAAAAAATTCCTCAATTTCTGCTGCTGTTGTTGCCTTCATTTCTGCTGCTGTTGTTGCCTTCATTTCTGCTGCTGTTGTTGCCTTCATTTCTGCTGCTGTTGTTGCCTTCATTTCTGCTGCTGGTGTTGCCTTCATTTCTGCTGCTGTTGTTGCCTTCATTTCTGCTGCTGTTGTTGCCTTCATTTCTGCTGCTGTTGTTGCCTTCATTTCTGCTGCTGTTGTTGGTGCAGTCGCCCTCGGCTGCCGTGACAATAATA